ATATATATGTATGTATATAGCCCAGTTAAGGTGAGAGCCTTGGGAAATCTGTTTTTAAATGTTTTGTTGAAAAAGACAGTTGCTGAAGATTCACTCCACAGCTGTGTAAAGCTAACTTGCTCTGTGCTGTCGTTAAGACTTAGAAATGGGCTTTTAGATGCTATTTCAACATCATCTGCTATTTATCAGCCCAAAGGGAGCAGAGTAATGTTTGCTTGTGGATGCATGTGTTTTGATTTATTTGGGTAATTAGGACTTTTTTAATTAAGATTAAATGTAGTTGTGGCTACATGTATGTTTGCGTAGTCATAATTACAGATATTTGGTGTGTTTTGAAATCCAGGTAGTGACTTTTTTAGTGTATCTCTGTAGGAAACATAGCTGTGTATATGTGCTCTAATTATTTTGTGTGCGTGGCATAGGGCAGTTAGGATAAGAGTTTCAGTGTAATGCTGTGACACCATCTGGGCAGAGGCACATAAAGCTGTTGCCACCCACCACACACCAGATGTTTCCCATGCACACACACACACACACACACACTTGCACACAGAATATCTTGCTATTTTGTTCTCCAGCTCTGGAAAAAAGATCAGACTCAGATAGAGCCACATTTACAGTGAAGGCCAAAAGATGTAGCATTGTCCAAACACAACCTTTCATTTTTAGTCAAGCTAATATTTTAGAATGTGTTGGTACACACATGCCCCTGTGTTTTGCAGCTTAAGTTATGACAGCCGTAAAGACAAGAGGCCCATATTGGCAATTACAATATGGCCATTTAACGCAGCAGTCCCTTTACACTCCTAAAAGCAACGCACATATATGTGTGTTAGTGCATTTATACGTGTATATATGCTCGCGTAGCTACACCTTGTAACCAGAAGGGCTGTAACAACCTGCGTGTCGAGGGACTTTGGTGATGGCCCCACATTTACAACTTTGCACCAACGGTAGTGCATTTATGTGGGAAATATTACAGCCTGCAGTTAGACTGCCCATGCATTTTCAAAGATATTTTTTTACTGTTTTAAATAAACACATGCTGTATGTGTCAGTAAACATATACAAAACTAAGCAAGAAAGAAAAAGTCTTCCTTGCACAAATCCGCCAGTATCATTGTGACATACTTTGTCACAGATGTTCTTACACATCAAAACTGTGATTGGTTTGGAAGCAGTCTGTGCTTCGAGCCTTTGTTATTTAGAGAATAAAGCAAACGATAATGCATAATATACTTATTTGTTCTTTTATTTTGAATGTATTTGTGTTGTTGTCTATAGACTCTGATCTGAAGCCCTACACTTCCTATGAGTACAGAGTGAGGGGCTGGAACAGTTTTGGTCAGGGCTTCAGCGACGTTACCACTGTGACAACCAGCGAAGACAAACCATGGGGGGTGGCCCCACCTCTCTGGAGTCAACTAGAGGAACGAAATGATGTCTTCCAGTTGCAATGGCAAGCTCCTGCCAGACCAAATGGTTAGTGTGTATTTTTGTTGTTTTTCTTTCTTTTTTTCCTCTCTTTACAGTATTTGCTACAAAAATAATGCCAAATACAGTATATATTTAATAATAAAAAACATCTTGACTCAATGGAAGCTGAGTCAAATATTGAGAAATTAACCAGAGTTGTAAAGTAACTAAGTACAAATACTTTGTTACTGTACTTAAGTAGAAATTTTGGTTATCTGTACTTTACTTGAGTAATTATTTTTCAGAGTACTTTTTACTTTTATTTATTACACTTTTACACAATTGTCTGTACTTTCTACTCACTACATTTTAAAAAAAGATAAGAAGTAGAAAGTTGTTGCTCCTATTTTATTCCAAGTTGTTATTGCTTAAAAAATACTGTCCTGATAAATTATGTCTCCTGATAGAGTGAATTTAATTGTGGTTGGATGAGAAGTATAAATATATACCATTCTGACACCCTATTAGTTTGTACACAACCCATCACAGCTGCACGCTGTTAGAAAACAATATTTTTTGGAGAAGTCACCTCCCAATAAATGTCATTTTGGAAAATCTAACAGCTCAGTTTTACTCAGTACTTTTACTTTTAATACTTAAGTAGATTTTGTGTTAGAAATTTACTTTTGATACTTAAGTACAAAAAATATCAGATACTTTGAGACTTTTACTCAAGTAATATTTTTAGAGAAGACTAACTTTTACCAAAAAATTTTTATGATAAGATACTTGTACTTTTACTCAAATATCACTTTGAGGTACTTTATACAACACTGAAGTTAACCGTGATTATTCAGTTATTCTTTCCGTCTTGCCAGGACTGATCACTCATTATGTCATTCTGCGGGATGGACAAGAGCGTTATCGTGGAGATGAAAAAACTTTTACTGATGTTGGTGGGATCTGGCCTTTTCAGGAATACATTTACCATCTGAGGGCCTGTAATCGAGCTGGTTGTACTGATAGTTCAAAGGTAAGATGGCATTTTTACTTGGCACATATACAGTATGTATATACAGTATACATATGTTTGTATCCATTGCTAATTTAAAGACTTCCTCATCAAAACTTTCACACAAAGCCATTCTGCGGTGCCTTCACAAATGGTAAAAAGTATTTTCAGTTGTTAAAAAATTGTGGCAGATTACTGAAAAACATTTAAGTAATACCTGTTTGAACAGAAATGTGCAAATTCCTCTAATTTGTCTCTCAGCAAACTTTAAAGCTGTAGGTTTTTTTTCTACAGATATTCATGAAGATGTTTGTAAATATTTTTATCACGTCAGTCTGAGTGCAGGTGTTCATTTAAAGGATATTTTACAGACTTTGTGTGACCTGTGTTGCAATGAAATTACATTCCTACTCTGTGAAAAGTCTCTACTGTTCCACTGCAGGGACAGTTGTTAGTTAGCATTGTTTCCACTCTCTCTGCAGAATGGGCTCTGGATTTGCTGAGCCTAAGTGATGTTTGTGATAGTGGCCATAATACCTTCACACTGAACTCTCCCTTGCCATCTCTCTGGCAGAAGCTGAACCGATATCACCACAACAATTAATTTTTCTGGCTTAGTAATGATTAAAGCTTATGCTGAGAAGTGTGTTTCTGCCTTTTAAGTCAGTAACAGCTTCTTTTTATTTCTAATGAGCATGTTTATCAGTAAAATGGGAAGCTTGTGGTTGTTGTCTTGGTGATGCGAATGGAGCAAACGGTGAGATGAAAATAGTTTTTTTCAACTGGCTCTCAGTGACTGATTCATGTTGGATGGCTTAATGTATTTATTATTTAAATTTTGTGAAAATATTAATGGGGATGAAATGGAACTTGAATTTTTGAAGAAAAGATGAAATGGAAAGGAAAAAAATGGTGACTCAGTTTCTAGCCTTTAGCTACAAATCAAGTTTATCTCTTTCCTGTGTGTAAACACCTGCACTGCACAATCTGCTTACCCTTTTACAGCTGACCATGAACTCCTCCATTTACCGAAACACTCTAGAGTCAAATGTGAGGCCATCTGTCTGACAAGTGAAGCTTGTCTGAAATAGGGAAATGCAAAGAATGATGAGAAATCTTCAGCAGTACACCTAAAAGAGGCGGTCCAGCCCACGTTTACACCTTAACATGACTGAAATGCCATTGGGAACCCAGGGTTTCCCCCACATGTAATTGATCGTGGCGCACCGCCACGGCAAAAATCATAGCCGCCACACTTTCAGAATAAAGTTTTTTTATTTTTTTAATAATATATATATATATAATAATAATAATAATAATATATTAGGCTAAAACATTGTAAACCAGGGGTGCCCAACCAGTCACTCGCGGGCGACTCGTCGCCTGCCAGCTGATTGCCAGGTGCCCGTGCAGCGCAACCTTGCTGCGGAGCCTCTAGCGCCGGCTTTGAGTGTCACATCCCGGAGTGGCTGATCTTGTTTGAAAGCTCTGGTTCTGCCCTACAAGGTGAAAGTTAAATGAAGTCCCTACGACGTTCCCCCACGGAGCAATAAGCAAAAAACCTCCAAAATATGCACCGTTGGACCTCCCGCCAGGGTGGTTTTAGCCCCCCTTCCCGGGCTAGTAGTGCCGGAACCCGGCGTGGATGGTCAGATTTTAAAGCCCTGGCTCTCCCCTACAATGAGAAAGTTGAGTGGAGTCCCTGCGACGTTCCCCCGCAGAGATGTAAGTGAAAAACCTCCAAAATTATGCACTGTCGTACCTCCGCCGGGGGTGGTTTTAGCCCCCCTCCCCAGGCTAGGAGCATCGGATCCTGGAGTGGCTGGTCGGGTTTTAAAGCTCTGGTCTGCCCTACAAGCTGATACTTGAATGGAGTCTCTGTGGCGTTGCCCCACGGAGCTATAAGCAAATTACGCACGACTTAGTGCATTTTACGCACACAACACAAAATTACCTCAAAAGAAGCAGAAGTCATCGGTTCGCCCCTGTCCTCAGGGGTGCGGCTTCTCGGTCCATGAGAAGGACCAGCACGAGGCTTGCCTGGTCTGTCTGGGGATCGTTCACACTCGGAGAGCGTTGGCAGAGCCCAAAGCATGTGCGTTTTGTTGCCTGCTTCGTCGCTCAACCCTGGAGAAACGGGTCAAGTTTTTAGAAAAAGTGCTGGGCGAAGCTGCAGTCGCACGGCAGGACCCACTCCTCTCCGAGTCCAGTAACCCGGTTCCATCTGAGTGCAACGAGGAGGATTTGTCGGTCTAAGTGCCCGCTTCCAGCTGGGCGGACCACGTAGAGTACATGAAGGGGTTAGCTGAAGAAGAGGAGGCTCCCCAGTTTTAGCTGGGCCTCCGCCATGTGTTGTACCTCGTTCCTCTCCTTCAGGGAACAGTAGTTATATGCATAACATTATGTTCTTAAAGAGACAGAGGCCAATTTCAAGACGTTTAGAAACTGATATGATTAGAAGTTTAGTTTATTTTCTATTTAAACATAAAAACAGCATTTTAATAACAACTGAAGGTGACATAGATACTTTATAATGGAGTAAAATTTAAATATATGCCTGAGAAACACATATTACCCCTTTAATGCCAAAGTTTTAAACAAAGCTCTTAGAGCACGTGTGTCAAGCTCAAACTGACTTCTGTGTGGCCCGCCAAAAAACCCTCCCACCCAGCTGGGTAAAATAGAATTATATCAAATGTAAACTTTAAATTTATGATTCAGTGCAACAAAAAATGAATTTAAAAGATGACTGTGGCCCCTGAGCAGTTTAGTAGAATAGCCCTGTATCAGTGTCTCAAAATATACTGCTTTAAGGCAATCAGTGAACATGAACTACATCGCTCATATTGCAAATCAATTATGCACTGGAATTCCCTGTCAGAAAGTGGGGAGTTCAAAATTCAAGACAACAGCTAATCACAACTCAACAGTGAATGAAACTCTGACCTTTACTTTTAGTAGTATTTCTGTATTATTCATTTCACATTTAGTCAGTTGTACACACAGTACTTTTCTTTATAGGAGAATGTGTTAAAACACTGTTTCTATGCAGGAAATACCACATAGTGCTCAGTTATTATTTGTTAGCAGTGCTCAGCCATAGAAAAGAGATAAACGTGATGATTAAACATAAAACATCAAATTTAATTACAGCTGACCCTTTAAAGGCACAGTGTGTAGGATTTTGTCAATTCTTTTAGCTGAAATTGAGATAATCACTAATGACAATAATAAAAAACATGTCTACTCATTGCAGAAAAAGACCTTGTTTTATTATTTTTACCTTATAAAAAGCTGTTTATATCTCCATGGTCACGGGTCGCCACACAGGCAGCCGCCATCTTGTCTACGAAGGCTCATGAAGGACGAACTGCGGTGGCGGCGTCAAAAACGGTTTTAGTTGTAATACTATAAATGTAATATTTGTTGTCTGTCATTGTAGCTGGGATAATTTTACTTATTAAAGCTCATAATC